TACAGATAATAGGTTATATTGTATACTATAATATTATCGTTTTAAGTCAATAAATAAATAAAATAAATAATTTTTTTATTTCATGATACATATTTTATAACAATAATTATTACTAAATAAAAAAAAAAAAAATTGATTATTATATTATACTAGGTAATATTTGTTTAGTATTTAAAGTATGATGTGTGGATTATTTATGTGGCTATACATATATTACAAATCCTCATTCGCGTATGATTGCTAAAACTTGACATCGTTTAATTACAGTATTTTCAACTGGATGCCAAAGCGTTACTCCGCCGCCAGTACTCACTACCGTGGGATACAAGGCAAAACAGAGTTATCAGGAAAACTTATTATTTTGCTTTCTTTGCTTTTTCCATCTTCTTGATGGGTTACCGATTAATTTATTAAACTTTGGCAGGACCCTGGCCAAAATATCCTTCCTTTCTTTTTTGAACAGAATAGGTATATATACCGTGATAGGTATATAAGAGTGGAAAGGTGGTGGTTTGGAAAAAAAATAAGAAAAATCGATTCACTGAAAGTGTAAATTAGGGCACAATGGGGTGCTTCTATTACACCACTACCAGTCTTACTCTTCTCGCCGCCATCAACTTGTCTCTAGCATAAGACCCGTTGCCAACAAATCCTTTGTACGGGTGTGTATCAACTCTCCTCCCAATACCACTGTTCCGCATCGAAAACAGTCCTCATTATGTAGTTTCATAGAAAGAATATTCCTCATCGAAATCTATTGTTACCCACATTTAATTTATGTATAAATGCTTTTGAAGTACAAAAAATCTATTATTGAGTATAACTACACACGAAAAATCTCTGTACTACATCAGAGTATAAGTTACGTGCATCTTATACGTATTCATTAATCTGTGATACATGACTATCGTTGTGTCTATTTTTGTGCATCTATTTCAATATTCAAATTATTTGTTATCTTGAGTATACAATWATATTTGCAAGATGTTATATATATTTATGACCGTATATCAATGTAAAGCGTATTCAATACTATATGTAAACATTTAATTATTATTGAACATAATTAAAGAYATTTCAAGGCTAAAATTAATATATCCTCATCATTGCACGTCTTGAACTTTAAGTATCAACAAAAATGTATGTGCAAATATATATTTTGTAGAAAATTAGTCTTATGGTACAAAAATAGTTTTTTTTTTTTTGTGGATATGAAATCTTACTATTATAATAGAAAATAATACATGTGATTTTAATTTTACTGTACTTTTTTTTAAACTATAGATAGCCATTAATTTTCAAATATTTTTTGAATATGAAACTTAAATGTGTTTTCAATATATCATTACAATRCATTTTCAAAAATTTATCCCTGTTATAGTTTAAATATTTTAAATAACGAGATATTCTAATCTAAGTATTAAATCGTATTAATAAAAAAACTTTTATTTGTTTACTTTAATGTTTTTAATGTGAAAAATATCTTTTACAAGATAAATTAAATTTCATTTTTATTCCAGTTATCAATATCAATTAATCAAGTTTAATTGTGTAATGTATATTTAAGCTTTTAAAGTTCTTAGAATAAGTGGTATTTGTATTTAGTATTTCTATGAATATTTAATGATCTTGATATAAAATCGAAAATGATCGATGTAATATTTACAAATATTCTGTAACTATTGTCATACTCAATTATTATCATGCATAATAATTAATGTTGTTTGTATATTTTTAAAGATAATATAGTATCATATTATGATATATTTTTTAATTTAAAAACTTATGAGTGTTCAAACTTTCAAATTATTTTATTTGGTTTAACTGGCTTAGTTGCTCATTT